TGCAACTTAGTGAAATGTAACTGTGTTTTAGTCATTCCATAAAGGGCTGAACTGAGGTATGCTTACTGTTACTCATGCCGAGTTATTTTTACGCCCAGCTATTCATGCCAAGTATGAAAAAGTCCACCAACTCTTTATCCCTCTTCTGAGTTTTGAACGAATCAAGTGAACCTGCTGTTTAAAAAAAACAATGGGCTATGTATTAGCATAATCTTAGCTTGTCTCTCCTAAACCAAGCCACTCCATTGTAAAAGAAAATTAAAAGTAAGTATATATATTTTTTAAATTAATATATGCCCTTCATACACAGACTAGATGGAGCTAAAGGTAACTCAAAATGTAATATTTTTTTGGGGGGAGGCATAGTGGGGATGAAGGGGGTTCTTAAAGAAATTTGCTTCTACGTCGATGCTGATTTATCCAAATCTTTAAATCCGCCGTGGTATTAAAACGTAAACTAATACAAAACTGTTTGCATTATGTGTGGGATCTGTTTTATAAATAGTTATTTTCTTACTTTATCTATTTATAGAACTGCTTTGCTTTACATTTGAGATAACTGCTGAAATTTGGATTTTGTATCAAATCGTGTTTTGGTATCGTCGGAAAAGTGCTTTGGGAGTTTTTGTTTGCTTTTTTTTTTTTTTTTTTTTTAATAGCTTATATACATCAAAGAAAATAAAAAAGGAAAATAAACATGCGTTTAATATTAAATACAATTTTAAAATGAAGGGTTTGAACTGCACAAAGCCACTTTAGCTGAAAAAACAACACATAAGCATTATTGATTGTATTTGTGTTAAACCAATCAAAGCTAAAGTGTAATTTCTAGGGATTACAACATCTTTCTGCAATTGAAACCACTATCACCATAAATAACCTTGTATCTCTATATTCTTTGGAAACAAAATGTTGTCAGTTGAGCAATACATGTAGTATTTTTTTTAAGGGCTTTAAATAATCTATTACAAATGTTATTAGGTTAATGCATGTGTTGGCTGTTATCACCATAAATAGTCAGATGCCATGATTTTATAGGCTTAAAGCCCGCTTGAACTTTCCATTTAAATCGGCTAGATACACTCCCGATGCAGCAAAACAAAAGTTGTGACACGTCTTAGCTACATCTACTCAAAAAGTAGTTACAGCCTGTTCCCTGCCAGCCTGCTGCATAGAAGAACCTGTGTGCTCTCTGAGCTTTGCTGATTACGGGGTTATAGCCCTGACTCAGCGGGAAGAGTGCTGGACCTCTGAGAGACTTCATTAACAAGTGTTTGAGATGCTGCTCTCCAAGCCTGACCCATGTGAGATGTTTGTAATGGCCTCAGCCAGTGCTACTCCACTGGCCACACCTTAGTGGGAATGGGGCAATGGAGCAACACTGGTTGAGGACGTTATAAAACATCTTACATGGGTCAGGCTTGGACAGCGATGTCCCGAATACTCGTTAATGATACCTCTGAATGTGATTTCATACATTGGCACACCTGCATGTGAGTGCAAGGGGGAGAGACCCTGAATACTTCCTTGGAACGGCACTGCAAGATTTGACACGTCTGCATGGTGAGTGTTGCTTCCCCACACAGATTAAGGATCCTTCGCTATAGCCTGTTGGCAGGGGAGAGGCTTTTTTTTTTTTTTTTAACATGGGTTGTGGTTGCTTGCTAGCTAAAAAAAAACCTGTAAGACATTGCACACTTTTTTGTTTTCATGCACCTTGAATACATTTGGCCGATTTAAACTGAAAGTACATTTGGCCATTAAAATTGAAAATATATAGGCTTAAAACTTTCTTAAAGATAGTAATACTGTTCCCAACAATCAATATTAGTTTTAGATGGTTTGGTCACACTGGAAAAAAAGCTAATTTAAAAAAATAAAGAAAAAAAAAATACTTTGGTTTGAAAATAGGTTGATTTTGGAATGAACAAATGGGAGCAGAATCCTATAAAAGAAATCATAAACATGATCAATATCCCCCTCTAGATTCACTTGTCTCCTTTGATCAACAACCAGAGGATATTTGGTTTGTCTAAAATACAGGTAAAGCATAACACAAACAACATAATTTACTTTTATGTAAAATCTTTGGTAGTTGTAGGGCTGTCAAAAACTGTAAGGGCAACCATAAAACTAATTCATTTGCCATTGCTGAAATATGAGCAATGAAATCATGCGTATGCATGTTAAGAATCCTACCTACCAATCAGATCTCTGCTTGCCTGTTGAAAACTGTTCTTAAATTCTGGATTTTCACAACAGGCACCTCATGTACGAAAGTGTCTGAGGGAAGAACAACTCTTGTTGCCAGGAACAAACCTGATTCTTCTCCCTTTTTATGCTTGCAGGTTGGAAACAAAATAAACATTTTCGCTAGGACACTTTAATGCAAAGAGCTACATGTTATTATAGAAGTTGTTTCCCTTAAAGAACTGCAAGTAATTCCAGCATTAAAGAGATTGAAATCTAAGAAAATAAAAAAAACCTACTTAAAAAGTGGTTAAAAGGAAAAAAAAAATAAAAAACCAGCAAACCTATCGGGGCTGCAAGACAGTGGTGAAAGAGTAAAGCGGTATGCCATTGATAAGGGTAGTCCCATGAAAACTGTTCACAGTCGAATCACACCTTCCTCAACAGAGTCGCAAAAAGATACCTGTGTACCTGTGCAGATATGGCTTGAAGTATCACCTAATGGTGGCACCATTGATGTTAAAAAAATAAATAAAATCTAACGATGACTTTTATGCAGCTGTAAAATAAAAAAAAAAAGTTTAATGTCTCTGCATACTTTAAATAGATGACAAATTTGTAAGATCTGGGGGGGGGGGGGGGTCATATACATACATACATGCCTGGTCAGTGCAAAATGCATATATCCCATTTTTGTTCCCAAGCTGTTATGTTCTGTACACATACCACTCAGTCAGGTTTATAGTTTAAGGGCTCATTGAAAAGCCTACCCAAGAATTCTAGGTATGAAGTTCTAATAGCTATGACAACCTTTATGTCTTTATAATAAACACTTTAAAAAACAAGGTGATTGCTTATATGGACCACCAGCCATGTTAAAGCAGTTACTGCTTGTGTTTATTATGAAACAACCTCGGGGGTACCAAGGCAAGGTATTCCGACTTTGTTCTCAGTTTTTCAATTACAGGCCTTCCTAATTTTTCAATTTTTGTCTACATCTTGCCACTGCCATTTAACATCTCACGGACAATAACTAACTAGTAATCCAAAAAGATTGTGTCCTTACCAAAAAAAGCTATTGATTAGAAGATTGCCCAGACCCTTGTTCATTTTTGGATTTGGCACAGCATTATGTATATCTGGTTTTAACATGAAAAATACACACGTGACCATTTTTCTGTAGCCCCATCTTTTGTCTTGTACAGGTTGTAATACATACCTGCACGATTCTACCTAAGCTCTGTCCTGATCCATCTATTTTCCTCCTTATGAGCCACATACAAAGTGCTTTGTTTAAACACAAAAGCTTAGGAATGGTATTTTGTGTTGCCCAGGGCTTCAGCTACCGCACTGCATATTGATAATGACCTCCTTCTGCTATTGGCTGATTTACAATGATGTAGTAAAGGAAAAGAAAACTTGCCTTTAAAAAGAAGAACACTTAATCTGGTCATAAATCTCCTTTCCTTAGTGGTGCCTTTTTCTGGGTCTGTCAAATTGACATCTTACCTCCTATTTGCTTATTTTATATATATATTTATGTATACATATGTATATCCAAGGCCTTTTTTAATGCATAACATGGACAATGCTCTTCAACCACTATTTTCTGCCAGGGCTTTGTAAGAAGAGGAGATATCTATGCCATTTACTTGTGTATTAATGTCAGCTTTTTGTTAAATTTACAATTGTGTTTCAGTACTGGACATACTACATTCTCCCAGATCTTTAGTACCCAATAATGGAGAAAGTTGAGAGCTGCATAATGCCTTGTGCTGTTGTCAATGTGTATTGACCAGTTGGATTTGCTCTAACTATGCTACTAAATACTGCTATCCAGGAATGAATTTTTGCCACTTTGTGGCATTTTCTATGGCTTTCATTCATTCTTGTTTTTACCGAATTCTACTAGATCTTCCTTTCACCTATAAAGGCCGTTTTTCAGTTTTGTTTGGGAAAATTGTACGATGGAATGCTGTGTATATATATATATTTTTTTTTTGTTTACTTTGATTTTGTTTTGAGTGTCTGAAAGAAATGTAATTGCAACTTAAGCAAACTACAATGCATGACAGAAAATGTTTGAACAGTTGAAAGACATTCGGCATTATATAATAAAAACAACTATTAACATTCATCACAAAGTACAGAAAACATTATGCCTCCAAGAGGTCTTGGGCCTGAAGCAGAGGCCTGAGGTCAGAACTTAAATTGGTGTAGTACAATAAAAATAAAAGCAATACATTAAGAAGTTTGGGATAATTACTATGCCTCTCCCTCTGTCCCATACATATATAAAAAGGTCACCCCTCCCATCCCATATGGAAGCAAAAGAATTGATTTAAAGGCAGTGATAATCAGAACTACATGCAGTACTGTGCAAATACATTGTCCATTGGAATCCTTAAAATCTGGGCAAAGGGGATGACCTGCAGATTAGACGCACATGCTTATATCGATGTCCTCAGTGTCCATTTTGGCAGAACAACAGTCCAAAAAGTCTGCTGTATGTGAAGAAGTGAAATCGGTTTAGCAAATTTACAACACTGATGTTGACTGTGAGAGAGGAAGTTGCAAGTACCAAACAAGTCGATCCAATGCACAGAGTACAAATTCCTTTTTTCTTCAACAAAAAGTAGAAAAATCAAAAATACTCCCAAATGGGAAACTTGATGGCACTAAGAGTTAACACATGTCAAAGGTTTCAGATTAGGCTGGGAAATCTCCAGACTGTACAATAATGGAGATGTAACCCAAGCCTTGAACTGTCTTCATTCTCAAGATTGTGAAATAATGCATGGGTTATTTTTTTACTCCATGTCCTCATTTACTGGTTCATCTTCATAATCTCTGTCAGGGTCAAAGTCAGGACTGTGGTTAGCTGTTGTTACTAGCGATAGTGGCCCTTCATTCTCGTCGGGATCCAGTGGTTCTTCTTTAACATGTACGTGGTGCCTATAGGTAAGATAAGAAAGGAAATATATAAATAGCTCATGTTATGTTTGCAGTGTCACATGTTCATTTTCAAAATATTTCATTTAAGTAGATCTAAATTCTAAACCTTTAGTTTGCGAAAGCAAAGTGCTGCTGATCTGTTTTAGCCACTTCCTGTCCATATGCGCTTGCTCCATTGTTGGCCACAAGTCATCGTTCTGAACTGGTTTACTGACAGTGACAATGGTGGACTATGCTTGCACACGGCCGCTTGCAGTTTCAACCAGTGGGACATGGGACAGCACAACAACATGGGAGCATAATCAGGACACGGTTGTCGCCCCATAACAGAAAATGCTTAAACAAGAGCCGTCATTGTGGGATCGCTACGTATTAGTTTTATCGAAAGCTGCTAATTTAAAACTATTGAAAACAAGACATTAAATTCCATTTGCATGTTAAAGCTTATATGAAACTTTACTGATTGGGTTTAGATCTATCTTACACATTTCAATTTCACAGTTATGGTGAGTCAACCATAATTTTTTTTTACCTCCATGGCTTGATTAGAATTTGAAAAAAGATGTAACTAAAACCTTGCATCCTTTCATATGACATGCATAAATATGTAGTTGGCGTTCTTGTTCAGACCCTTAAAGTGGAACCGTAATTAGAAAATTAAGCGCTGCAAGATCACTTCAGGCTGGCCTCTTTTGCAGGTATAGCTATGTAAAACATTAAAAATTGGTGCCCGTACGGTTTAAAATCCAGTAATACATTGCCTCACCCTGCTCTGCACATGTTCAGTTGCTCTCTATTATAGTAGAGGCCGATCTGCTGACAGCCTTAAGATTTACTGCAGCTCAGGGGCTCTGGGCTTCAGTAAAATGGTAGCCTCCAGCAAGAAAAACAGGAACAATGCTGGAGGCAATTTACACACACACTAATTTTGGTAGCATAATTATTAATATGGAATGTAAGTACCTGGCTAAAGAACATTATTTTTTATCAAGTGGTTATGGGTAAAGTTTTGATTTAGGTGTTAACATTCAGTCAAGTTGAACACATATTTGTCCATTCTTACAAATCTACTAGAGGCTTTAACAGCAGATACAAACCAAGGGGAAAAGGTTAAGATGGCACAAATGTGTAATTTTGTATATAATGTCAGCATACTGCCCCCCCTGGTCTGAAGGATTTAGTCCATATAAGGTAAATAGAGCCTTTTTTATTAATGTGTTTCAAATATATCCAAATGTATATTAGAGGACAACAGTTATGGAAAAAATATGGGACCTGCATTTGGAGACTTGCTTTTGTAGGTACATGCTCCAAGGCATGTTCTCCTAGCCTTATTGCTTGACACATCATCAAACCTGAACAGGTTGAGTGTCATGACACTTGATATACACATATCTGTTCCAGACCAGTGGTTATCCTAGATTGTAAGCTCGAAAGAGCAGGGCCCTCGATCCCCTCATGTTTTGCATTGTATTGGTATTGTTCTGTCACATGTTCTGTCCCCCTTTGTAATGTACAGCGCTGAGCGAACTATTGGCGCTTTATAAATAATGTATAATAATAATAATCAAGCAGTAAGGAAAAAATGACCCGGAACATGCACCCGCAAAAACAAGTTAACAGTGACAGTTTCTGTCCTGAAAGGTTCCTTTTAATATTTCCAGATTAATTATTATAAACATTTTCAACCAATATAACTACCTCTTTTTACCACAAAGTACCCCCAATCCACTTGTATACATATGGATCGACTAGTCTGCTATAATAATATGTGTTTGAACAATTACGTTCCCACAGGACAACATTTACATTTGCGAATTTTGTTTTCAGCAACCCCATTATATCAGGTAGCATTGCTATAGTAAGAATAATTCATATTTAATCATTGTCATTAATATAAAAGACTCATTAATGTTATTTATGACACAACCAAACATGCGGCAGACAAATTAAACAAGACTTCATAAAGTAAAAGTGGGAATTATCGGGCCACAGAGCCGTTTGCCGAGGCTGGGGGTAATCATTGCTTAATGTGTGTTCTGCTTCTCTAGTTAACATGCAGAACCTGTGAGCCAACTCTCTAGAGGATGACCCCAAGTGAGGTTCTATCATTAATCAACTTCAAGCACAACACTACGAGGAGACACCATGATACATGCTTTAAACTCCAAATTAATGCATATTTTTACAAACTGTCAATAAAGGAAGAAAAGCTCTGCCAGAAAACACAAACGGAGAAGGGGAGAAAGGAGAAAAAAAACGCCTCGCTCAACACAACAATGTGATAAGAGAGCCCAGTCTTAACGAGAATAATAACACTGTCAGCTGTAAACAAGGGAAAACATGATCCCTAGCTCATGGTGGGCAAAAAAGGACGCACTTGGGAGATGCGAACTGCCAAATTCCCCATTATGGAAGAGCATATGAATAACCCACAGGGGAATAGGGCTGATCGTACATAACAGCTATGATAACAAGAAAGAAACGCCGAGCGTAAATCATATTTACAGGCCTGACTTTACAAACAGCAATTACTTTTCCACTGCTGAGTGGCTTTTGTCATGCAAAATACTGCAAATGCGTAAACACCGCCTGGCCTTTGAAACGGTGAAGGGAAGTGTCATTTTATTGACATTATCTAACATTAGAGATGAGAAGCAGAAAGAAAAGCTCCTGTTTGCTCATGATACAATTGACTTTCCAAGGCAATGCCTAAAAATAGGAAGCCTTAATGAATTAGACTCCTACTCCCCTTGCTTACTGGGTTGCACCCCCCACCCACATTCTTACCTTTGTTAACATTAACTCTTCCAAAAGATGCAAAGAACTATTATATTGTATGGAGCCAAATGTTAGGTATGGAATTACTAATTAAAGGGCCCACTTTTTTGTTTAAATGTAAATCGCAGGCAGAAGGCCAACATACAGGAGCCATATGAGTTTCTCAGTAAAACTGTGAGGCCATGTCATCCCCTCCCTCTTAGATTGTAAGCTCCAAAGAGCAGGGCCCTCGATCCCCTCATGTTTTGCATTGTATTGGTATTGTTCTGTCACATGTTCTGTCCCCCTCTGTAATGTACAGCGCTGAGCGAACTATTGGCGCTTTATAAATACTGTATAATAATAAAATAATAAAGTCCATATTGACTTCAGCTTGTATCAGAGCAATGTGTACAGAAAGCCTTTGCACAGTGTTTGCTAAGTCTTTAAATCTTCCCCGCTTGCACAGTTATACAGGCTCCACTCCTATCCTGAAATTGCTTTATCCGATTTCACTGCACTCTGTGTGATTCTCACATTGTGTATTAGAAGCTGCAGCAGACGAGTCTGCCTCACTTCCTAGCTGCAGGACATCCCGCAGAATATATAATTTCTTCCCCTGCCTTAGGGCTTGTTCACACTAGCGGTTTAGGTGTGGTAAAACGCCATACTTGAGCCATGTTTTTACTGCTTCCCTTTTAGCTGCAGAGACAGCAGCCAGGGTTGTACACACGCCGCAGCCATGATGCTTTGCTTCACGGCTACAGCAGGAATTAAAACCCCCCTATTGCTGTTGGCAGGCCGCTCTGCAAGTGTGTATGGGAGCATTCTGCAAGCATTCATTACATTTGCCTTCAGCACACCCGTGTGGGATTCGAGGGGTTAATGAAGGTGGTGAGGAAGTGGTACAACACCTCCTCAACACCTATCAAATGTTCTCTGAAGAGTGGTCCAAAATGCAATCAGGCTGCATATACAGTAATAAATATGCTGCTACAGGTTTTTATTTGCTAAGTGATACAACACTGTTGATTGGAGCCGAGTGAAGGATCGCTATAGACCGGGACTGCTGTTTTGTGTATGGGAGCAGCTGTCTCACTTTCCAACATGCTGCCAGCACAGGGTACTTCAATCCTTGCTGAAGCAATAAATAAATAATAGAGCAGCATATGTATTACTGTATATGCAGCCTGACTGCATTCCAAGAGCAGGTTCAGAGGGTAAAAATGGGCTTTAAAGTTGCCTCAACTTTCATAGAAAGCAAACGCTGCCTGAGCAGAGGCACATGTGCTGCTGCCACAAACCCTGGGAAGAACCACTTTAAAAAGTGGGCACCAAATTCCTATTTTTTCAGTAGAAGCTCGTGCCTATATTAGTTTTATGGACATCCTTGTTGAGCAAAGACTTTTGTTTTTAATTCTGCACATCTTAACAATCCTCTTATTTGTCCACTCTGGAAGAAGAGCAGTGAAAGTCGGAGCTGTTAAAAGGAATGGGTTCCGTTGGTGTACACAGCATGACATACGCTGCTCCGCAGATAGCACTGGAAGCTACAAGGATGAAAGTCCTACAAACCCCCATTAAGACATATTTTGCAAGTTGGATCTTTGAATAAAAAGAGCCATAACATTCTAGCATCATAAAGATGCATAAGAACATAGTAGGCTGGGTAATTTCTACAGAGATTCTACAGTTTCCATGCTAACAAGGTAAACGCCGAGATAATGTTAGCATTTAAAGCTTGATTGAGTCTAATTTATTGGGATGCTCAAAAATTAGACGCATCATAACTGTTTACTGCAGTTTTTAAAGAGAATGCAGCGTGGCGGTTTTACACCAAATGTATCTCAGCGGCATTAGGGAAAAACAAATTGCCGTTGCAATTAATCAAGCTTCCTTTCCTGCAGAAAGCAGTAACTTTAAAGATGTATTTGTGTGCGATTTCCATTTATGCTGCAGCAGTTTAAGGGCACATAAAAATTCTAAAATATTTTGTTAGGCTTTTAAACCTTTGTAAATATCTCTCATGGGTCCGACATCAGCTGAAACCATTCCAACTAGCTTTGCTAAGGATTCTTGTATGATTTTGGATTTTGATTTCTTTTTAGAAATGTAGGCAGCTGGGAAAGAGTAAAATGATAGATATGAAGAACTGCGACTCATTTATAACTCCTCCCTTTTTTATCAAATTCTCTTTACATCCACCAACCATCACTACATCTCTTTACATCCACCAACCGTCACTACATCTCTTTACATCCACCAACCGTCACTACATCTCTTTACATCCACCAACCGTCACTACATCTCTTTACGTCCACCAGCCGTCACTACAGCTCTTTACATCCACCAACCGTCACTACAGCTCTTTACATCCACCAACCGTCACTACCTCACTTTACATCCACCAATCGTCACTACATCACTTTACATCCACCAACCGTCACTACATCTCTTTACATCCACCAACCGTCACTACAGCTCTTTACCTCCACCAACCGTCACTACATCTCTTTACATCCACCAACCGTCACTACAGCTCTTTACATCCACCAACCGTCACTACATCTCTTTACATCCACCAACCGTCACTACAGCTCTTTTACATCCACCAACCGTCACTACAGCTCTTTACATCCACCAACCGTCACTACGTCACTTTACATCCATCAACCGTCACTAAGTCACTTTACATCCACCAACCGTCACTACGTCACTTTACATCCACCAACCGTCACTACATCTCTTTACATCCACCAACCGTCACTACATCTCTTTACATCCACCAACCGTCACTACATCTCTTTAATCCACCAACCGTCACTACATGTCTTTACATCCACCAACCGTCACTACATCTCTTTACATCCACCAACCGTCACTACAGTTCTTTACATCCACCAACCGTCACTACGTCTCTTTACATCCACCAACCGTCACTACGTCACTTTACATCCACCAACCGTCACTACGTCTCTTTACATCCACCAACCGTCACTACGTCTCTTTACACCCACCAACCGTCACTACGTCTCTTTACACCCACCAACCGTCACTACGTCTCTTTACACCCACCAACCGTCACTACGTCCCTTTACACCCACCAACTGTAACTACGTCTCTTTACATCCACCAAAAAACTGTCACTTTACCCATTTATGTTAATGTAACAGGTTTACGTGGAAGTCTGTGCCTTCCATTGTTGATACTTACTTTCTATGGTCTGCTGACACCCCATCCATCAGTTAGGGTGCATGATATAGCTTCGTTTGTAGTAGTTAGTCACATTCAGCTATACTGATTTGGTGGTTGTTGTAGACATGCTGCAGCTTATGCAAGCCACTTCTTCAGTTCTAATGAGTGTCTGGAACATACCCCAGCAATTACAACTAGATAGAACATGACCTTCTCAGAGTTTTCTTGAGGTGAACAGGGCAACAGGTGAACATGGAGAAGTTAAGTTTCAGTAGCAGGTGAGCTATCAAGACAACCTGTTAATGGGCCCTTACACCCATTTCTTCTGCAGTCCCCTTAGTCCACCTCATATTGCTCAAAGTAAGCCCTTTTGGATCTAGTATCAAATGCAGGATTCGTTATGATTCAGGTTAAAAGTCATACATTATTCACCAATGCTAGCCTTCCCTGTTCCCACCCCTTGGACTATTGCCTTTTCATTTCTTGGCCTATGAGGGATACAATGGAATCTATCCACATGTAAGTTATCATAATTGATGAATAAAGTGTTTAACAATGCACTGCACAAGTCCTGATACTCACATTGCTTGCATAGGGGAACGTCCCGGGCTGCTGTCACTGCCATTGCTGTTGCCATGCTCAATTACACCATTCAGTTCTTCCCGCATGGCACTGGCTAAACTGGTCAGAGCTGGGTTTCCCATGGAAGCCGTAGTGTATAGAGGTATACTGTTCTCAGCCATTGAAGCCTATAGCAAAACACAGTATAAAAAAAAAAGTTCTCAGACAATAAACAAGACTAAAAGAAATCTACCACTATTCATGAGGATCCTGTTTCATCCACATGTATCAGAATCTGATAAAACCTGTATATAGATAATACACCAAATAGGTGCCATAATGCTAAATGAGGAAACCACTTGCCTACCGGGCACGTTTACCCCCTTCCTGCCCAGAGCAATTTTCAGCTTTCGGCACTGTCGCATTTTGACCATTTCGCAGTCATGCAACACTGTACCCATATTAAATTTTTATAATTTGTTTCCACACAAATAGAGCTTTCTTTTAATGGTGTTTAATCACCACTAGGTTTTTAATTTTTTGCACTATAAATGAAAAAAGAGCAAAAAATAAAAAAAAACACAGTTTTTCTTTGTTTCTATTATAAAAACAGGTAAATGTTCTCCTTCATTGATGTGCGTTGATGAGGCTGCTCTGATAGGCAGCACTGATGAGGCAGCACTGATAGGCAGCACTGATGGGGAGGCACTGATATGCAGCACTGATAGGCGGCAATAATGGGCACGGATAGGCAACACTGATGGGCACTGACTGATGGCATTGTCAATGCCGGGTGGCACTGCTGGGCAATGATGGCTGGCACAGTTGGGCAGCACTGCCAGGCACTTTTGGGGTTGCACTGATAATCAGGGCAGATGTCTTCTGTGGCACTTGTTGTTATCGGCAGTACTTTCCTCACACTGTGACAGTATAGGGCAACTGTATTTACTTTGTGATCATGTGGTAAAAGGCCGCTGTGATTGGCTTTTTACCTTGTCATGTGATCCAGCTGTGTCCGTAGGACACAGCAATCACAGACAGTGCCGGGTGTGCGCGCGTTGTGGGGAGACATCATATGACGTCCTCTCAAAACTGGACAACTGCGCTGTAGCCGTCATTTAGCTATAGCGTGGTTGTAAAGTGGTTAAAGTAGATCTAAACCCAATCACTAAATTGTCATAAAAGCTCTATTATGTTAATGTGTTTTCCAAATTTGTTCTGAATATTTTTTAAACTGCAGCTTTCTTTAAAATAGTACCTGGTAATCCTGCCATTAAAGTCCCAGTTCAGACACTTCCCCTTATAGGGTGACAACTGTCTCCCTGTGTTGTTACTCTGTCATGTATGCTACTGGTAGAGACAGCAAATGGTCGTACACATGCTGTGCACGCATGATCCACTTTTGTCACTATAATGAAGCCAGTCCACAGCATAGTTGAGGCAATTCCATATAGAAAGGAAGTGTCTGAAAGAGGCCGGAGGTGATCAACAGCTCTGAGATGCATAAAATAGTGAAAAATGTATTTTGTGGGAAAAAAAAATATTTTTTTACACGCATTGATATACTGTGCTCTATGAAATTAAAAGTCATTAATTTAGTGTTTTGATCTACTTTCAGGGAGGAACATAATTACTATTTGAAGTAAGCACGGATGTTAAAAACTGAACATGTGGTGAAAGTTTTTGTCATGGATCATGATTTTCTGCCAACATGGAACAACAATTTGAGATATTTCTTACATTTTTCAACATAATGAATCAAAACAAAGAACAATCCTGACCGTTAATTTGTGACAAAGTAACCCTTTAGACTCAACTGGTCATAAAGATTGGACAATGTCTGCTAACATTTGACCCTTGATAAAAATATTTCTAATTTAAATATTGCTTCGGTGTAACATTCATGTAATCTCCCATCAGTATACATTGTGGCATTGCTTATTTCTGTTTTGGATATTTTATTTTAATGGCATCTTTCCATTAACTCTGCAGGAGATAAAAAAAAAAAATTGAAGGCGCGTTTTCATGCATTCTAAAATTCCCATGACACATGCAACTAGGGCAAAGACAAATTTTCATTCTGTGTTATCAGAATGAATGGAAACCAATAAGAAAAATAACTATATAAAAATAATGTAATTTGGGGTTTACATATACAGAAAGTTTTTTTTTTATTTAACAAAAAAAAGCTTGCAATACTTTTCCAAAACAAGCAATGTTAAATCTGCTGAGCCTTCTAATTGGAATTAGTCATCGTTAAGGAAGGGATCTGATAGAATATAGGATCATTTCATTTTGCCTTTCAGCCTCATGAATGTAAATTGTGCTTGTAATCTTAATAGTATTCTACAGACAGAACAGCCTTTAAAATCATATTTCACAAGACTCTGGGGACAGTAAGCAACTAATGAACAGTATTTACAATTCCTTCCTTTCAGTGTTGTCACTGTTTGACTTCTAATAATTAGAGAGAATACAGGAGGAGAAAAAAAAAAAACATTCCCTGCTTTATTTTGCAGTTAATGTTTCATCATGTTTTTTTAACAAACCAAACAAATTATAAAGTAACCATGATATATCTAAAACAAAAAGTAGATCAAAAACAGAATACATTTATTATGCATTTGGGATATTCAGAAAATGTATAGAAAATATAAAGGGTTAATTCTATAAATTCTAGTAAAATGATATTATTGCTGTTATTATTAATAATGATAATAATAAAAATGATAAATATTAAATCATTTAAAATAACCGCTTTTAGAATTAACAATTCATTGCAGATTAGGTAAAGAGGAATTTATCCATCAAGAATAGGTATTTAAAAATGTGCACCAGGTTTTTTTTTCTTTATTTTTAATCCTGCTTTTTTTTTTCCTCCAGACCCTGGAACAATAGGAGGTCACGTGACATGATATTCTTTCATTCCCCACATTAATAGCTCTGCTCGAGTAATTACACTTGTGGTATTTTTGCCTCAAGTGAAATTCTGAAATAAGAGGATGGAAATTATGATACTGCTGATAAATATTAATAAGTGAACTTTTAATTTTTGCCACAATATTCAAAATGCTAAGCATCTAACTAATGCTGAAGCAGACTGATATGTGCCTGCCTCCAGGGACCGCAATGCTTTATGCACTTAAGAAAAAAAAAAGTTTAACAGAATTAAAATTTAATATCTAATTAGAGCCAGGATAATATATTTTGCAATAAGCAGAAAAGACACGCGATGACGGCGAGAATGGGAGGATGGAGCAACTTACCTGCAAAGCAGCATTAAGAGGTGTGCAGTAGGCGTGACTTGTCTGAATGTTTTTGATAAGCGAAGGACTACTGCATGTAAAAAAAAACAAAACAAAAAAACATATATTTGTATTTATGGTTCCTAAAAATAAATGGCTCACCATTTTATTTTTATTAAGCATATAAATTGTTAAAAATTATGTGGAAAAAACACATAATAGCAGAACAATATTATACTGTAAATGTACAAGCTTTACACCTGCAGGAAGGAGGTTCATTTAGATGCAGTACAGGCTCATTTAACTTCAACACAATACAGAATGTGCGGGATGTAATAGAAATTACAGCATTGATTCCTCACATGTATAATTATTTTGCAAATAACAATAACGCTATGTAAAAAGCATTTTTATGTTACCTACCAGTGTCTATCCTCTCTGCAGGCATAAACCAGAATATTATGCTCATTATTTAACAATGCAAAAAAATAAACTTACAATATCATTTAATATCCTATTTTGTGCCACAGAGACCAATAATTTGGACATTGACACCGAAATACAATGTACTTCCCATTCACAGAACTGATGAAGAGTGGAGTATCTTTTAGCTGTGTTCTATAGGTAAGTGTAATGGGCTTTTCTTTCCTTAGGTATTGTTCCCACAATAGTAGAGACTTGTATTACAATTTGCTATATTTTTTTAAAAATGTTCTTGTTAAACTGATACTGCCAGCCAGTGAATTGGGGTTCAGTGAATAGTATTGTACATCCACCACTTAGATATTGCATGCATACATTTTATTACGCTAAAAAGAACCTGTACCCAGACTATGCACACTAATAATTACATATTCTGCACAATCAGCAAAACTGCTTTTAATAGAGAAGCATGTTTTATTTTATTTAATCATACCTAGGTGGATGCAGCATTGGATCGAGTGATCAAACACCACTGATTGCTCAGTTCTCAACCTTCACTGGGCAGAGAGCCGGCTACTGTCAGTCATCGGCTCTCTGCTCTGCCCCTCCAGAGCTCTTTACTGAGGATTAGGCAGGAGCAGCTGAGCGAGCCGCTGAGAGCATAAGCCATCTGCCGATGTAGGCATCTGGGTGGATCCTTACTTTAAAGTTGCAATCTTTCTCCAGCCTGAACTGGCTGTGTGACATTTGCTGATAGAGGGTCACAGGAGTGTGGAATGAACTGCTCTCCTGTGATCCACAGGAGAAGTAGAGCCAAATGGGATTTGGCTCTACTTCTCCTTTAAAGAATCCTGCATTCACCTCTGTAGCTATAGGCATAGTGGACAAATGTGTTGCCTATGTTGTTACCTTTGAAACAGAAATCTGTATTTGTCCTTTTATCTCTATTGCACCAGAATCATGGCAGTCTGCCAGCCCTCTAATGTGATGTTTCTAGGCTGCCCGAAACAGATAGAAATCCAACTTTAGCATTTTTTTGTTGTGATTTTGAGATTGAATTACGTCATATTGCAAGCTGCTAAAGAGGTCAGGAATAGCTTGTTTTAGTATTTGTTTCTGCTTGTTAAGAATATGTAAATACTTTCATGTCCACAGTCTGGGCACAGGTGCACTTTGGGTCCAATTTAATTGTTTACTGTATATCCTCACAAAGCATAAGCCAAATACAAATTTGTCATAAAAGCATTTTGAAATCATATAAAAGTAGCATTAGTTTCTTGATTTGGAAGGATAACATTGTGTTAATCTTGTTTTAAAGACTAGCTCTCCCAACATTGATATTTCTACTTTTAATGAGTACTGAATAGTTGAATTACATTTCAGCTTCTGACATCCTTCAGAGACTCCAGTGGTAAGATTTCCCTGCAGTAGCTTGTCTCCAGCACTCCTACAAGGCATGACCAGGTGCCAGTCTTATGCAGCTGTGCTCTCTATTTGTTTATTCTGCATAATGGAGAATCCACATGGGCATTTGATACCTTGATCTGGCTTTAAAATAGTTGCAACAGATAGGCAGAACTGGGTCATGTGGAGTGGACATCTTTCTAATGGAGCTCCTAGGGAATCTAATAAATCAGCATGTGTTTCAACTTTTCAGTAACCATGTAAAATAAAAAAATAAACTGGGTTACAACTGAGTTTTAACTATGTAAGACACACTATTTTAGGCAGACACTTTTGGATCATGTCATAACTAAGAAATGGCAAAAATAACAAGCACATGCAAAGTTTGTAGAATAACAAAAACATGAACACATTGTTAATACTTTACATGGCTGATGTTGAGTTGGATACGGTCATAAGTTACTTCTTCTACCACTTGACTCAAGATACGGTCATAAGTTACTTCTTCTACCACTTGACTCAAGATACGGTCATAAGTTACTTCTTCTACCACTTGACTCAAGATACGGTCATAAATTACTTCTTCTACCACTTGACTCAAGATAGTCTTACTAATGAAGAAGGCGCTACGCTATGGGGCCTCATGTATACTGCTGCTCCTAAATGTGAGTTTAAGAGCTTTTGGCATGTTTTTGCCAAAGCCCCTGAACTCAACTCAATAAATGCCTATATGTCCATGTACACATAGGCTTTTACCAGAGTTTAGGATCAGCAGAATTTAGGGGAAGTTAAACGTTCCTCTTCTGAAAGCAGAATAATGGCATTCAGGAGAGGAACGTTTTGGCCAAAAAATGCTAAATGCGGCACCGCGTTTAGCACTTGGGCATTATCCATGTAAATGGCAAATACTCTAGCCAATCAAATGAATAAACGTGATAAAATGAACTAAATGCAGTACCGCGTTTACACGCATTTTTGCAGCGTTTAACGGTTTTGTGCTGCCAGGAGAGTTTAACGACTAGTTGAGCTCATGTGTACGTGAGGCCTAAGGGTCAGAGCTGCTTTGGACTACCATGTATGGGACTATGTACAGTGACTGGTGAATAAGCTACAAGCAAGTTCTGAAGCAGTAAAAATGACCAAATCTTTTATTTTAAAATCATATTAAAGAACGAATCTCCTTCATCTTAATTTATGGTTGACAAGCCTTACAGACAACATATGGAATCTTTACCACTTGCTAAATTGAATGCACATTGGCCACACAATATGTTCATAAACCTTTATTTGTAACCTTAAGAAGAGAACCCGTACCATAAATTCTGGTTTACCTAAATAAAGGCCAGCCTCAAAGTATGTTTTTTTTAAAGTGACTCTAAAAGCACAAGGCCACTTGTAGTTTAAACCATATGTGCTAAAATAAAGAAGGAACATGCTTATTTTTCTTGTGGTCTTTGTCTTGAAACAATGCTGCTTCATTGCTCGCTGACCACTGCTTATTGTGTGGAATACCTTACTCCCCCATCGCATGCTATAATTCCCCTAGTTTGTACATCAATACAGAATGTAAGACCCAGTGGAAGAAACAATTGTGTGCAACAGGAAAACCAGGTATTTCACCCATCGACTGGTAGGATACTTGAAATGGCTGGGGAGCAATGAAGCAGTGGTGTAACCAGACATGGTCACCATAAAGGCGATGCTTTTGTCTACAAGTGACCCTTTGCTGACAAGGTAGCTTTATTATTTGTCAAGGAGAAGGCATTTTAGTATGCATGTCATGATGTGCAAATACAACATTTTTTATAGCATAGAAGTCAGGAATTGGGACATAATTCAAACATACTGTTCAGAACAACACAAATTTGACATTTATTCCTAGAGGCCATCTCTGCATGTGGTGGAGGCAACATTTTGTAGGCTGAAGTAATAATAAGGATATCAGAATTCCCCAGCAACCAACAATGCCCTGGAGCCACAAAAGGACTCAATCCAGGTACTGAAACCTGCAAATACAATATGGCCTGTTTTGCACAGGCTTCAGCTTGTATAAGAGAAGTGTGAACAGCACATTTTTACAATGCATTTGTAGAGCTTTCAGCGAGCTATGTTGAAGCTTTTAAAGCGCCCTTTAGCTCCAGCTCGAAATAGATCCTAACGAGAGTGCCAAATGTCACTTTAAACCAGCTGCTAGCAGGCTTCATCACTACTTGAAGTTTGTTGAAAACCTGCTGAAGTCCGCTAGTAGCTGATTTAAAGTGACAAACAGCACTCCCATAATGTTCTGTTATTGTAATATTACCAAACAGGAGCTGATGTGTGCTTTAAAGGCTTAGAGAAAGCTGCTCAAAGCTGGCAAAAAGCTTTGCAAATGCTTGCTGAAAGCTTCAAAAAAGCTTACTGTTAATACTGCTCTTATACAAGCTGAAGGCTGTGTGAAACAGGCCTAAAGGGGGGGGGGGTCTTATGAACACTGGGCCAATGAGAAGGTCTACCTCCACCATAAGCAGGACAAGGAAACGTAGCCAATAACATACGTAAAAAAAAACAAACAAAAAAAAACAAACACTTTTTTGGAGGAATAGCACAAACGTCAGTAGAGGTTAGAGTTGCTGCATGAAATGCTGGCAAATGAAACATGCAAGAGAAGTAGCTTTGAAAGAGGATAGATGGCAAAACATAAAAAAGCAAATCAAGCAAGTTAAAGCTCTTACTGTGTAATAAGTTCGTCAAAGTGTTCATCAGGGCAGTATTTTCGAGGACGGCCTCTCTGAATATGACGGCCACGTTTAAACTCTTCATCATCAACAGTCCAAACGGACCCATAATCATCCTCTACTCTGACAAAGCACTTATGGAGAGACAGATTGGTGCGAATGGCACCCTGGGACCAAGGAGCAGCAACAAGGATGAAATGATTTGGGAACAAAAAAAGGGAAATGGGAGAGCAGAAAGCAAAAAAGGGATGGGGAAGAGGCATACAAAAGGATGTCGGGGGGGTTGAAAGCAATAAAAAGAGGGGGGAAGCAGCACAGACAATGAAGGGAAAGGAAAAAGAACATAACAATGCATAAGCAAATGGTTGGTGAGGGTTAACAGGCATGGGTACTTTAATAGAACCTGTCCCATGTGCAAAGTGGCAGCCTTTTTGTGGTCTAAACCAATATTTTAGAAAATGTTGTCAAATTTATGTATGCTAAATATTGGTTAAGATCTCAGAAAATGGTTGTCATCAATTGGTACAAATGACAGGTTCCCTTAAAAAGCACCAGGCAAGTGATGCAGCATACACCAAGGCAAGCGGGACAGGGGTACAGTGGGCATACAAAATGGCAGGGGATGATGTCTTGTGCTTTCCTCTGAGCACACTTCTGCTACTCCATCACCACATGTACAATAACAAACTACACTAAGAAGTTCAAAGGATGGTGGACGTACCCACTGATCTTTTGTGGCCTCCTTTTTTGGAATTCTATTTCATCCACTGTCCATACTGCCCCTTTTACGTTTTCTACTCGCACAAAACACTTGTGTAGACTAAGATTATGGCGCACTGCATTCTGCAGCGGGGACAGGAGAGAAAACATTCAAAGGTGAGCGCTAATTATCGGCAGCAATAAACCATCTATACATCATTTTTACCATTAAAAAAAGAAAAATTAGCAGGTTTCATTTTAGTGAATCATATATGCTATCAGGCTTTGGCAGCTGACACCATGTTGTAATGACAAATCTTTCAATTTTCATCTTAACTATCTCCTAAATTTCTTGGAATCTTTTTGTATTTTTTGTTAGCAGAACATGTTTGGGGAAAAAAACTAAAATATAGATGTAGCTAAGGGTTATCAGCCCTGTCAGGTTTGGATCACTATCTGTGCTTGCACTTTGAAGATTTACCTCTCTATTTGTAAAGGCTCAAGGTTTTTTTACCTTCATGCATTCTATGCATGAAGGTAAAAGACCTTCTGTGTGTAGCAGCCCCCCACCGGCCCCCCCTAATACTTACCAGAGCCCCATTACGATCCAGTGATGTGCACAAGAGCCTCTCTTTGATCATTAGCTGAGACAGCAGTGAAAGCCATTGGCTCCCACTGCTGTCAATCACAGCCAGTGAGCCAAAGAGGAAAGAGAGAGGGCGGGGCTGAGACATAGCTCTGTGTGTGAATGGAAGCAAGCCTGCCTAGGTACCCCCATAGAAAGCTGCTTGATATGGGGGCACTTGCCATAATGAAAGGAGGAATTATCCCCCTCCCCACCAGGACTTGTATTCTGACAGCAAATCAGGATACACTGATCAGCGGCTGCAGCCACTGATCGAGAAACAATTTCCAGCATGTCCACAAAAGTTGATCTAATGATTGACTTTTGGTGAGCGGGGACAACCGCACACAGATCAAAATTCAGCAGGTCTCTGATGAACCATGCTGAATTTCAATCAGTGCATGGGTAGCTTAAGGAATCATATGCTATTTCACTGTAGTTGTATTATTTTATCTGTTTTAGTTTTTACACAGTATACATGGTTTTGCATTCAATTTTTAGACATTTTCCAGCTCTTTATATAGCAGCGTTTTCATTGGTTTTTGCACATAAAATAGAAAAGGAGAATACAAACTGCATGAATACTGAATGAAAACAGACCTTGCTTATTTAATCTGGATTCCACTGGTGGAGATGTGAAAAAATGGAAACCACCAGACTCAAACTAGAAAATACTTTATATCCTATTGAAAAAAGTATAATGTGAGTGTTTCCATGGACAAACAGGAATTAACAGAAAAAAAGACCCATATTGTGTTCTGATCTCCTACCCCCTCCTGGAAGGAAAAGAACAGCAAATAGATCAAAAATGGAAAGAGTGCCATACCATGAAAAATGGCCACTCTGCACAACTTTGAAGTGCAAATACTTTGTTTTACTAGTTTTGGATAGCATAGGAATGGGAAAAAAAACCTGAGTTTGAGATTTAATTGTTGTCTGTGCCCCAAGAGGTTTCAACCATTCAATACAATATTCAAAAAATTTGATTTTGACCTACCAATGATTTAGTTTAAAGTCCACTTATTTTATTTGTCAAAAGTCAACACTGTACATTACTTCTTTGATAAAGCTAGACATTTCCAATTTGGAAACAATAACTTCAAATGAATATTTAGGCCCTAAATTGTTATTAGGCTTAAAACTTAAAATGCTCGCATGGGTCCAACATCTTATTCCCCATCCTCATATAAGGTTAGAGTATATTCACATAAGAATTCTCTCTCTCTCTAGCTCTTCAAGTAGTGACCAGAAAAATGGATGTCCCTTATGGTCATTTCCTAAGGTTTGTAGATTTGCAGAGATCAGTTTGGTGACCAGTGTCATTTTAGGCCACTAAATATGTATATATAATACAGTGAGCCTTTCAACATATATGGTTCCTTAAAAAGTCATAGTTTAATACATTTCAATGGTAATACCAAACATTGGTAATAATCTTGCCTTTTTATAACTTAATTTACCCCTTCCATCAACATGTTACTTTTTTTGTGTAATGAACAAAAGTATGAAAAAATGGACCAACCACCAATCCCCAGGGACTTCACAAAATAGTCTACAGACACTACCACTTTTTAGTTAACTGACCAATAAATATGAAATGGTTATTAGGGGAGATTTACTAAAACTGGAGCACTCAGAATCTGGTGTAGCTGTGCATAGAAGCCAATCAGCTTCTAACTTCAGCTTGTTCAGTTAAGCTTTGGCAATAAAACCTGGAAGCTGATGGGTTTCTATGCAAAGCTGCACCAGATTTTGAACTCTCCAGTTTTAGTAAATAGCCCCCAATATGTATAAAAAGCCCAACTTTTAATTAAGTATAGGATATAATATGGAAGAATTAAAACTCCTGTCAGTTTCTTTTTTGTCTGTGCCCCACTGGGAAGATTACCTTTCCCTTCCTGTCCAAAAGACTCAACAAAAAGGAGGAAGAAATCTTACCAACGTGAGGGAAGTTGCCTCTTAGATGGTAGTCACCGGAATAAGTGTCCCCATTGGAAGATTTTTTTGTCTATTCCTGTTCTGGTGATAACTCAAAAGGTTTGATTCTCCAATAATTTCAGTCCCAGTGGTCATTAAGTCAAATACAGTGAATCTTCATGATAGGACATATATAAATAAAAATTTGACAGGGGTTCTAACCTACCCCTACTCTATCATAACCACAAAATAAATTTTCATTTAAGATGAACTTTAAATATTTGCTGTCAAAGGATTTAGACTTCTTGCTATATCAAACATCTGCCCATGGGTTTTAGAGATGTTTAACTTACATTTCTTAGAATACGCAGTAAAAAATAAATACCTTCCACGTTGCTGCATTGCGCCGAAAGTAGGCAAACATTCTCGTGAACCAATTGTAGATTTCATTTAGTGTTAGTTGCTTTTCAGGGGATTCAAGAATTGCCTATATGAACAATAATAGCAGGTTATAATAAGAAGTGTTTTCTAGCTTTAACACTTTTACATTCTGTATTCATAATTAACTGGTTTTTAAGCTCAGTACCATCTATCCATGAACTGTTGAATTAAAGGGAAAATATAGGGTCCTGCCTCCAAAAAGTTCTGAGATCAGAAAACATTCAACACAAATCCAGGTTCATAAAGACATGATTTGATGAATTTGGTGTGGAGAAATTCGAGTGGCCTGCACAGAGCCCTGACCTCAATTCTACTGTACACATTTGGTATGAATTAAAACAACATTTATGATCCAGGTCTTTTTGGCCCACACCAGTACCTGACCTCTCAAAAGCTCCTACTGATGAAGTGGCTAAAATTCACACTAACAGACTGAAAAATCACATAGAAAGAATTACTAAAAGAGTAGGAACATCTCAATGTGGGTGAGAGAAAGGAACTTTTGAAGGGAGTTCTTGATGTTGGAGTCAACAGGAGGTATAAGAAGGCAGCAGGTTATGGAGTCAAGTAGTCCTTTACTGAAATATCACTTTGGATGGACTGACTCTTTAACAAATATTATTAGGAATTCTCTCTCTTGCAAAACTATATTGGTCCAGCATGGCTCAATATAAGTATCCATATCTGATATCCAGAGGGCTGCTGGGGGAAGCTGAAAATCAGTACACTAGTCTGCGCTGCATATAGTGATATCAGTGATCTTCTGGAAGCTGTTCTAGTGGATTCCCCTCTGTAGACTGAACGCGTGGGGGCTCTCACTTGCCCCCCCACCCCACGCCATTCAGAGAGAACAATGCATTTTTGCAATTAATACAAGGTGTTTTCTGATAGACAAGCTGAAGATCATGAAGTCATCTGCCCCCCCCCCCCTTCCAACTCATCTTGCATTACATTGTACTCTAATTCTGAATGGCCTGGTGCATGCATATTGGAGGGGAGGTTACTGTTCTTGGGGATTTTGGTATGGCATTTTGGAGGGGTTTGGTTAAAAGTGCTTATCCTTTAAAATGGGGAAGTTTAGTTGCACTGGGATTAGGAAGTATACATTGTTCACTGTTGTCTTCCTCTGGTGAAGCCTGTGTCAGAGGATTACCTTACTACCCTAAATGGGAAGATCGTTTGACATATACTCTACATAGGCAGAGCAAATAGGAAATGATCATCATAGCAGTTAGACATCGAAAGACTGCAAGGGCAGATTAGGGTAAAAAATGTTTATTTACTCAAGTCTCCAATCAAACTAGTATTTTCTTTTTTTTTACTCTTTCATGTTCAATTTGGTTTGCAATGCAATTAAAAAAAAATAAATTCCAGTTTGATAAACGAAACTTACAAGGGTCAGTCAATGCCACACATCACTATTTTGCCAAGACTGGCATTGCCCAGATATATCTGCAATTTTTTATATCTAGGATAATTTACTTAGTACAGCAAAATAAATTTAGCAAACATTGTAGCAAAGCTCTGCTTTTTTAATAAGCAGTAAACGCAGGCGTAAATAAAAGTGGAATATCCCTTTAGATGTCACACTCATGTATGACATGAACATCAGAAAATGTATTTTAAAATAAAGTTGTGTATAATTTGAGAATTATTCAACAACCTAAAATATAAAAGCACAATCACAGATCCTACAACATAATTATTTTCACTAAATGCGCATCTGTAGACATAGCCAATGCTAGAGCCACAAAAATGCATCATTCAGTGCAAAATAAATAAACCAGACTTCACAACACGATCTGCGATTAATACCTCTATTTAACAGTTCAATGACAACATTCAAAATGGAATTATCTAATTGTTTTGAGTTTTTATTTCTGTTTCCTGGTAGAAATATTAATTTATCAGTCATTCACAAAGCGGGATCAAAGAAAAATGCAAAACATTTCAGCGGCTGATTACAGCTCAGTAATTATTTAGAGCTCAGATTAATTCTAGGGATCAGAGATTACGCTAGTTTGTGATAATTGACTTGCCATCTTTAAACAGCCTCATTTTCACTGTTGTGTGAAATGAATTTTCTAATAATCACATCGTATTGTAATACTTAATCAAAAGCAATTATGTTAGATATTGCTGTTTTCAAAACTCTTTTGCCAAAAAAAATATTCTGGACTCATAAAACAATGTCATTTTGCAAACCCTTTTCATCAATGTGTGTGATTTTTTTTATATTGTACCTGAGAAATCACAAATCACTAAGCATTAAATTACAAAAAATGGCATCTTTGTTTTTATTAAAAAAAGTCATGGATCTGGCATACATTCACAAGCTGCCACTGTGGATATTTAGCTAATAAACGGACTAGTAACAAGTGACATCATTGTGTTCCATGCCACAATGATGCCACGTTTTCCTAGAATATTGATGGACTATAGGCATTTTTCCCAGTCCTATTAAATAGTTAGCCTGGTCTAGTCTGTACGAAAAACTGGGATGTTTTAAAATGATCCAGACAGAATAGGGAACTGACCTTTAAATTGTCTTTGAAGTTACCAGGGAAGAAAAATCAACAAATTTAAGAAAATCAGGGATCCCTAGATAACACTTTTTGTTTGCAGATTTTGAACTTTTTGTTCTAAATATATAGCCAGCTTTGGTTTTTCATATGCCCAAGTACCACTAGAAGTCTTGACTCCCCCGCCAACCTTTTCCTTCCCATCCCAAGACACCCGCTTCTCCTTTTACCCTCCCCCAAACCTCCTTTTTTTCCCCTTTCCTCTTTCCCTTAACCTGCTAGTTCAAAAAGTTATTTCTGAAAGTGTTGTATGACTTAAGAGTTTGACTTCACTAACCAAAATTATATATTTTGCTTTAAAGCTTTACTATATTCTAAACACATTGATTTTTGGTACATTGGCTACCAATGCTTCTATAACTGGTTTCGACTCACTATTCAAAAGTGATTGCAAACCTACAATTTGTATTTTTTTTTTTTTACTAAACTCGTCATGGTTACCTGCTCTGTGGAATGGTTTTCCACAGAGCAGCTCTGATCTTCACGTGCTGGCGTACCTAGCTCTTACCCTATGCAGAGTACCCCCATATCAAGCCAATTGCTTTGGGGGCACTTGTGCAGGCTCATTCCCGAGCCACATCCATTGACACACAGGGGGTGCATGGCATGGCCCCGAGCCCTCTCGTTACTGGCTGTGATTGACAGCAGCGGGAGCCAATGGTTCCTCCTGCTGTCTCTGAGCCTCTGGGGAGAGAGAGCAGAGAGAGCCACTGGATCAAGATCAGGCTCAGGTAAGTATGGGGGCTTGAGGGGAGAGCAGAACATAGATGGTTTTGTTACTTTAATGCAAAGAATGCATTAATGGTAAAATACTTCTACCTTTACAACCACTTTACCAGGGATTCTAAAAACTACTAATATACATGTTGAAGAATAAACAATTTTCAAACTAATCCAGGCTATGGGCAAATGAAAAAAAATTGAAACCCTCTTTAAGAGGACTGAACAACAAAGGGTAGTATTATTTTTACATTCAGCTAATACCATGTTTAAGTACAGGACATACAGGGACTGCAGCTATACCTTTATGCAGGCCTGTTCTAAGAAGAATTCAAGTTCATTTGTCCATCTGACAAGTTCATTTTCTTAGGCAATCTCACCCTAGCCCCTCTCAGCTGTCCAAAGGTACATATTTTCCTCTGGGTGGAATTCTTCTTTACAGACATTTTAAGACCAATAAGTAAACAAAGCATGCACACTTACCTGCCTAATTAAGGATGCGTATGTAAAAGGTGGCCTAACTTCTGCATTTTTGTAAAACTCTTGGTTCTGTGCAATGTCTGCAATCAAAGTGGGAAAAAATAAACATGTAAACAAAACAGCAAATTTGAGGTTTCATAGTCTTGAAAGTTAGGCAACTCACTAATCCAAGGCTATAGGAACATACTGTATTTGCAATTTGTAGACCTTGAGTATCAATTGTAGAAGTGGGCAAATCCCAATTAGCCAGTTTGAGCATGAATACCTTCTACCGGTGTCTAATCTTTTTCACCTCTTCTATTTTGTCAGCAGAGTCTAATTGCCTGACTACTTGAACTGAACTAGTGTTTCCTGACTAATCTGTCCATCCCTAGCCAATACATTCTCAGATATGGCAGAGGAAACATGTCTACTCACCAGAAGAGATGGGGACATTATATTTGTCAGAGTACCGCCTCCGCATGGGTCCCACATTGTGGATGCTGGTGGTTGTAATAACAGAAGGTCCCTGGTTTAGAGGAGTGAGTGGTGTGGTTGGGGTGGTGGGAGTATGAGGTAAACTTTGAGGGGATGGTTCTGATGCAGTCTTTGATAGGGTGGCACTGGATACCAGGTTCAGCTGTAGACAACAATCATAATTAAAAAATAATAATTGTTTATTCTTTAAGCTCTGCAAATGTTACTGTTCTCTGGCATACGTATTCATGTTTGCATAAAGTCCCCTTCTTACAATTCCAGAAACTTGCAAGTCCTGGTTAGTTGGTATTGTAGGGACTTGCTAAAAATTTTAGATTTAAACCTTGCTAAAACTTTTAAGTTGTAAGTAAACAGGATTTTCACTTGGTAGATAAACCCCTGGCTTGCTTTGGTTGGTAAATTCATATTGTTGCCATCTGTGCTTTCACAATTTTTCTTTTAATTAACATTTCCCAAATGTTTCATAACAGATAAAAGGAAATAAACACAAAGATAAATAGATCATGTCAAGAATATGATGAACAACAAAGCAACATGTGGTCACACATGAATTTCATTGAACAAGTACAAACTTAGAAAAGTATCCTTTTAATGTGTACAGGTAGCGGGGGCACTGCTATCTAAACCCTGGAATGCACACCATGCAAACAATAGAAGTAATAAACAAGAGATGTCAACTTACAAATTGTGGTTTGTGTAGTCTACCACTCTGATCAAGCAGCTGCACTTATTACAGTTGGGATGACTGGGCCATAGCAACCACTGAGGAAAGGTTGGGTCCCAAGAAGCCATCCATCTTTTAGAGCCATATACCAGAGCTTCCATTATTTTTCTGGGCATGTACTACCAGTAAATTTTAATTTCTTGATGGAAAGTATATTGTGCATTTCTCTAAACTACTAGCTGTGGGGTTGAAGAAACCCACCTCATAGTGATCAGTTTACATGCAATAAAGAGAGCTCAAAGATGGCATCTGTAGCATATAGATCCAGAGTGGTTGGGTCAAAGTATCCAAGTATACCCATAAAAGAGTTGCACCCAAGGATGATGCCAGGTACAGCATTCAGTGTAGCTATCACTTCATTCAGGTAACTAAACAATTCTGGACACTGTCATAGAAGGCAAATTGAATTATCTCAGTTTTACCCGTATTTAGAGCAGCTGAAGTCATTACGCACTTCAATTTTGAATAATAACTGTGGTGTACGGTATGTCCTATGTAGGATAAACAACTGGGTTAGTCTGCCTTACTGTTATAGAGACATTTTGGGTAACATACAAAGAATTTCCTCGCACTGATCTTCAGGGATATTACCTAGGTTTTGTTCCCACCTATATTTACTAAGGGAATTTAGGTAAACATTTAATCAGTAAAACTGTATAAAAGGTGAGAAATCAGACCACACCTGGCCCAGAGTGCTAAATGCTGAGATTGTGTCAATTCTTATTGCCTGTAATTTCTCTTGGGCATGTAATACATGCTAAACCATCTTTTCATAGGACAGCCACTGTATTGTCATTGCTTGATGCCATTGGGAAAAAAACCCATAAGACCCCTGTGCCATTATAAAGTCATAAGACAAATTCTGGGGGCCTTTTTGTTCCAGATAAAGTGATGAAAAATGCCATTATTTTTTTTTTTTTTTTTTTTTTTTAAGTACAGCATTGGTATCCAACAAGGCCAGCATCTGCAGCATCCATGCTATTAACTGCAGAAGCCTACACTAAACTGTAAATTTTTTCCTAAACGGTTGTGGGGTGACATTCAGAGAGAGGTACTTTGCGATGCATCTGGAAATATGAATACCCAAATAGTTAAAGACACCACCTGGAAATGTGACATAACATTACCCATTGGTTGTACCAGCAATTATATGGGTAACAGTGTTGATTTGCCCCAGTTTATGAGTCATCCAGAGTAGTGCCCAAAATCTTCAATGATGGACATGGAACTGGGCAGAGAGGTATGTGCATGCAGGTGAATAGTAATGCATCACCTGCATAGAGTGCAAGTTTTCTCTCTTGTTACATAGTTACATGGTTAGTCTGGCTGAAAAAAAGACAAAAGTGCATCCAGTTCAACCATTAAAAAAATACACTGAATAAAGCCTGATACCTGCCAGGATTGTTGTACAAGAAAAACAAGGGGCCCAATTGCCAGGGAAAACAAGAGGGGGGAGCAGCCATGTTGTGCACATTTCTAGATGGGTAACATGCATTAGTGCAAATCACTGACCAATCCAAAGAGCACAGGGTGAGCATAAAGGAGCTGTACCAATTTTAAATAAGTTGCTGCAAATCCAAACATTTCCCAATGATCTTTGCTTGGTACATAAACATACTCATAAAACAGCAAATTCAGGATATATATTTTAGTCACTTTAGACTAACTGACTAAAAACCAATCAGCAACCCCTTTTTAAAAATTGCACATGTGAGAGATGCAATGTGATGATGTATATGTGTATGTTTGTATTTGGTCACTGTCCAAGTGTGTTTTTTTTGTCTGGCTAAAAGCCAACAAGGCAGTGATTATGGGAGGCCATAGACATGAGAATGATTAAACTCCTATTTCTTGAGTATCTACATGTTTATGATGCATACTTGATTATAAAAATAACCTTAGCCTACTGTATGAACATAATTTGAATCATATGTAGTCTCTGGAATGATTAACATATGCAGAAATAATGCAACAAAAGAAAAAAAAAATCATCATTTGTTTTTTTTTTTTATTTTATTATTTGCAATGCACATCCAATGAAGTGACATTCAAGTGCCTGAGCAGCCCTCCAACCCCATTTCATATCTTGGACTACAAAACAATAACTCTCTATGTAGTAGAGATATGGAGAGGAATTCAGTAGTTTATCAAAAGGCAGTTTGGCAGGGCTGACACCATTTCTTGTAATTTCAGTCCACAAAATCCTGTTTTTTGTCAACCAATAACTGGAAATTGGGATTTCATTTTATCTCTTTAAAGATGTGTTGCAGAGATTATTTTTTTTCCCATGACATACACTATGGGGTTGACTTACTTAAAGCAAATAGGCTGTTCACTTTGAAAACTATGCAATAGAATTTCCCCTTAGCTTAGTGAATGAAACTCTGTTGACTTCCATCATCCAATCATTTGCAAGCAAAAATGTTGTTTTTAAAAAATTCCTTTGCTTCTGATTGGGTATTCTCTGCTATATGAATTTTGACCACAATCATTAAACCAAGTAAAAATCCCATTACAAAGTGAAAAATTAGTTTGTAAAATGAACATGCTCTACTGCTTTGGTAACCTTTGTGACTCCAGTACAATACAAATTTACAGCACCTTTAATTTGACCACGCAATACTTTTTAGTGCAAGCTTTTGGGAACACTTTGGTTCTCTTGTAGTTGATAAAGAAAGCTAAGTATTTCAAACAACGTGCACTAGAATGTACTGAGTTAGTCAACAAAAAGATAATGTCTAGGTTTTCACTTTACTGCTACTGTATCTATGGCATGGTACACTTTGCTACACTTCAAACCCAAAACATTCAAATTCTTTTTTCTTTTTTGTAAGCAACCAGAGCCATTAAAATGGTAAAGCTAATTACAACCCACTCATAGATCACTGTGACACCGTGAAATTTAAAACATGACTCCATGATGTTAGATTTGGGCAGACTTTAAACAAACTGCCACTGTGTAAACCATATGCATACAATGCTTCTCACCCCACATGCAATTTAAATATACACTTTCATTTGTTGATTTAATGTAACGTCAGACTGATGTTTAGCTTTAATGTGAACAGTGTAAACATGGCTTTCATAAATGGATAGCGTCTCCAGAACTTAAAACCCAGATATAAATGTGAACTGGCACAAAGCACATTTGTAGGTGTGCTTTACATTAAACAGAACACAAAGTTCATTTTTTTGCTGTTATTTTCTTGAGATTTATCCAGAATATATAAATCAATTGCTACATACGGGACCATGTTACATTCTGCAATCAGTCAGTCTTATTACAATGTCAAGCTTTTATTTCTTTTAAACAATAAATTAGTTATACGTAAAAGTATTTCTGCTTAAAAAAATGCATAACTGTATTATTGCCATTAAATATAATTTGCCAGCCTTAACAGAGGAATTGTGCAAGTCGGTGCCAAAAAATATGAAGTCATGTTATGAAAAGGTACAGTATATGGTATTAATCAAGAAAATCTCGGTGTTTCATTAATTGATTCCAAAGAAGGGGACCTTATCAGAGAGTTATTTTAAAATCCATCTTGTAAAGGGCATAGATCTATCAGAGTGAAGGAGATAGGGGTCAGCAATCTTAAATCAAAGCAAACTATATATATATATTTTATTTTTTTAAAATAGAGATATGAGCTAATTGTTCCCCAAATCTTTGAGTAAAATAAACAGTTTTAAAAGGAATTGTTATCCTGACAAACTTTAAACGGCAACTGCATCCTCTACCATGACCTTTTAAGTTTATCAATATAACTCCACTCACATTACCAAGCGGTTCCCTGTATCATTCGAGCTGTGATTTAATGATAATCCCCAGCGAACAGGCAAGTAATGCAGCCTTTTAACAGTTTATTATAGAAACGTCTATGTTACTCCTTATTAAATGGGATGCAGATGTTCGTTTTTTTCAAACCGGCTGAACAAAAACGCACGTGCACTTGGTACAAATTTCATCTGGGTCTCACACATTTCACCCGGTGTTATAGTCTGAAGCTTATATAATTCTGTATTGTTGCCAAGGATGGTCAAATACCATTGATTATCTGGAAAGAAGGGTCACTTTAAACTTTTTTTTTTGATGATAATAAGGCTGTTTATATGCTGCCACTGACTTTCAAGCTCAAAAGATATCAACCTGAAAACCAAAAACAGCTCTACATGGAACACACGGTCGTGTACGGCAGGCCATAGATGGTGCAATTTTCTTTCCTGCAACTATGGGTTGCAGGAAAGAAAATAGCTCAATTACTCCATCATCACAATCAGTATTGAGGAAGGAATCCCTTCCATGGAGCTGCTGTGTTCTCCCAACAGGGGGAAGGAGGAGCTGTCCCCATGGAGGGAACTCAGTGTTTACTGCTAGTGGCTATAATAGACGCCAGCACTAATTACATGTAAAATCC